AATAATGAGGGCAACAAATGTATAGATGTGCTTTACACAATTGATCTATGTATTGTGATGAATTGTATGAGCCCCAATAAATTGATTAAAAAGAAAAAATAAATTAAAAAAAAAGAAAAAAATGTGTGTGTCAGGATTTTATCCTCTCACCATACTTATTCAATTTTTATGTTCAACAAATAATCAGAGAAGCTGGATTATATTAAAAGAATTAGAACTATAAGTATACAGATACGTAAGGATATGGCGTGATAATAAAGATGAATATTTAAAAGAAAAAAAATATCGCAGGAAAGCTTATTATACACATGACCTAATCTTTGTTTCTGAAAGGAAGGAGTAAGATATAGAATTGAAGCCTTCACTATTGGATTACAACTTAATGTAAAGAAGACTGAAATCCTCAAAACTGGACCAATGGGAGGCATCAGGATCAATGAAGAGAAGGTTGAAGTTGTCAAGGATTTCATCCTTCTTGGGTCCACAATCAATGCTCATACAAGAGCAGCCAAGAGAACAAATGATGTAATTGAATTGTGTAAAGCAGCTTCACAAGTCTTCTTAAAAGTGCTGGAAAGCAAATATATATTTTTTGAGGACAGGTGCATCTAATCCAAGCCATAGTATTTTCAATTGCTTCATATGCATGTAAAACTTGGTCATTGAATAAGATAGGCTTAAAAAGAATTGATGCATTTGAATTATAATGCTGGTGACTAATACTGAAAATACCATGGACTGGCAAAGAGCAAACAAATCTGTCTTCGAGATGTACAAAAAGAAAGTTCCTTAGAAGTAAGGATGGTGAGACTTTGTTTCTCATACTTTGGACATGTTATCAGGGGAGACAAGTTCTTATAAAGGATCATAATGCTTGGTAAAATAGAGAAGCCAAAAAAAAAAAAAAGATGTTCCTCCACAAAATGAATTGAGACAGTGGATGCAACAATGGATTCAAACATAAGAACAATTGTGAGGATTGCTCAGGAATATCTGTAGTTCACAGGGTTGCTATGCATCAGAACCAATTTAACAGTACCTGATGAAAACAACAGCAGAAACAGTTGCAGATGTAAAAAATGTTAACCCAATTAGTTGCAACTTTTGAGGAACTTATGACGGAGTACACTCACCAGATGGAACCAGAAGTTAAAGAGTTTTCACATCTGAACATGAAGAGGATTGAAGTCTGTGAATTCTGAAGGGGAAAAGACCTTCAGTGATCACCAGAGGTCTCACATATTTCCATTCAGTCACCCAGATTAGGCTATACACTGTCTCCAACCACCAGCAAGTAAGATTCTCTAAATAGGGATTCCAAGCTTAACTCTGATCCACAGGTTTTTCATTGATAGTTCCTCTAGCTGGACTGGAACCACCAATCTTTCAGTTAACAGTTTACAGCACCCAGGCTTTATTATTTTTATTATTTTTTTGTGGGCAGCTGCTGTAAGCTGAAAAGAGTAAATCAAAGGATTTACCACTAGAGCTTCTAGAATATTTTAAAAACAACCTGACTTTAGCACTGAAACTCATGTCAGAATTCTGACCTTTAAAACTGTAAGAAAGTGGGTTTTGTTGGTAAAGTGACTAAATTTGTGGTCATTTTTAATGGTCCAAAATAACTGACATCGAGTTGATTCTGACTCATGGCCATTCTCTAGGACAAGGTATAACTGCTCCTGTCAGTTTTTGAGACTGCAACACTTTGTGGGCATGGAAAGCCTCATCTTTCTTCTGTGGAGCAGTTTATGGTTTTGAATTGCTGAATTTGTAGTTAGAAGCCTAACCCGCGGTTTGTAACCCAAGGTATAACCACCACCCCACCAGGGCTCCTTTTTATGGTAGCAGTAAAAATATATATGTTAAAAATGAAATTGAGGTACGTAAAGATTTCTACAAGTGGACATCAAAAGCAAAAATTATAGAAGAATAGAGTTGATAAAATGATACTGTTAGAATTAAACTTTTGATCTTGAATGATAGCCGTATAAACAAAACTTTATAACATTATTCCGCAGACTAGGAGAACATTTTTGCACAACAGATAACTAATATATTGTTTATATTCAATATATAATGTGTATGTTTATATATATATACACACACACACAAAATCCAGTACACAATGTCTGAAGATTTTAGTGAACATTTCATAAAGCAAGATATGTGAATAACTATTAAGAAAATGAAAGATGAGCATATTACTTTGAGAGAATCAAAGTAAAACCACAATCACATAGCACTGGTAATTAGAATGAAAATCAAAAATTTAAACTAAAAGAAATCAGAACATTTTGTAAATATATATAAACACATGCACACAAACCAAATGAGCCACCCCCCCACACCCGCCCATAATGGAATAAAGATCTGCTATGCAGAGCTTTCATAGTATGTATTTTTCCTGCTAGGGGAGCATCCAGCAACTCACTCTGAGTTAGTGCACCCAGTGGCATTGCCTGGGAAGGTTCTCTCTGGCACAGTGAATTTTTTTTGTGAAGGCAGTTTCACTTGAACTTCACTTTTTGTGATGGCCAATTTAAGAGAACAGCGTGTCACTGTGAAATTTTGTTTCCTGCTTGGGAAGAATTCTGCAGAAACTGATGTGATGTTGAACAGAAGTTACCAGGACAGCAGTATGGGAAAAACAAGTGTATGAGTGATTTTCTCATTTCAAAAAAGGTGAAATGTCAATTGTTGACAAACCTCATTCTAGACACCTTTCAACTTCCATAAAGGATGAAAATGTCGACTTGTAGTGTATTTGTAGTTCATTCCACCTGGTCTGACTGTTAATCAAGCTTTCTATTTAGAGGTTCTGAAAAGATAGTGTAACATTGTGCGACAAAAAAAGTCCAGATTTCTGGCAGATGGCACACTGGTTTGGCACCACGACAATGCACTTGTTCACACCTGATCATGCAGCCATCTCAGTTCACCATTTTTGTAAAAAATAGCATGGCTCTGTTGCCCTGCAAGACCTTACTCGCCTGATCTCCCTCCATGGGACATTTTTTTGTTTCCCAGAATAAAGAGGGACATGAAAAGATGGTGATGTGATGATGTAGAAGAGGTGAAGAAAAAAAAATAAAACAAGTGATGTGCTGTCAACCATCCAAACAGATGAGTTTGAAAAATGTTTTTAAGAATGGAATTGCAGATTTGACAAATGCATTAAGTATAATGGAGAGTACTTTGAAGGTCATAAGGTTGTTTTGTCAATACAATTAAATACATAGCTTTGAAAAAAAAATCTGTTTTTTTGGAGGGGTAGCCCCTCATATATACATGTATACATACATACATATATACACACATATATATGATATATCCATACAATGCAATACTTCAAAGATTACAATTATTGGTATGGACTGCATTTAAACATAAAGGGAAAAAAATTGCCATGAATGGACCAGTAAACAGCATCATGTATGATAAATGGAGAAAAGATTGAAAATGTGAAGGATTTCTGTGTACATGTATCAACATTTATAGGTTCACAGAAGCGGTGATCAGGATTCCCTGTGTTTCCAGCTCTTATCTGTACCTGTATACATGCTCTTGTCTAGCCAGATTTGTAAGGTAGAATTGGGGTCAGATAACGGTGGTGGGGGAAGCATTAAAGAACTAGAGGAAAGCTGTGCTTCCTTGATACTATACTACACCCTGTCTGGCCCATCTCCTCCCCACAGCCCTTCTGTAAGGGGATATACAATTGTCTACAGATAGGCTTTGGGTCTTCCCTGCACACTCCCCCCCCCCCCATTCACAATGACATGATTTTTTGTTCTGTGTCTTTGATGCCTAATACCTGATCCTATCGACAACTCATGATCACACAGGCTGGTGTGTTTCTTCCATGTGGGCTTTGTTGCTTCTCAGATAGATGGCCGCTTATTTATCTTCAAGCCTTTAAGACTCCAGATGCTATATCTTTTAATAGCAGGGCACCATCAGCTTTCTTCACCACATTTGCTTACACACCCATTTTTGTCTTTATTGATCGTGTCAGGAAGGTGAGCATCACAGAATGCCGGATTATTAGAACAAAGCGTTATTGCACTGAGGAAGTACTTGAGTAGAGGCCCAATGCCCATCTGCTATCTTAATACTAAACCTATAAATATACTTACATCTTATTTAAATGGACATATGCTAATGGTCTCTGGCATCCAGATGATGTATCTTTGTGCCTGTCTTGTTATTTTCCTGTTTAATTCTTAATGTTTCCTTAAATTATATTTTAGACTTAGTGTTTCTTTTGTACCATAAAACAATAACACAGAGTATCAGAATAATGAACAAATATTTCTTGGGAGAAAGGCAATCCAATGTTCCTTAGATATAAGAATGGAAAGACTTTGTTTCACGTATGTTGGACATGTTATCAGAAGGGTTCATTACCTAGAGAAGCATGTCATGCCTGGTAAAGCAGATGATCAGCAAAAAGAGGAAGACTCTCAACAAGATTGATTGAGAGAGTGTTTTCTCAAGGAGCAGGTTGAAGCTTTTGTTAAAATTGAGTTTATTGAAGTCATAAATAATCCAGAATTGAGTAGCATCTTATAAGGTTTCCCCCAAATCC